ATACGAATAATTAAAATAAAAACAAAACTTTTTAAAATATAATTTTTAATAATTTCTTAAAATTTAATAACCATCCGTGCCAAGAAAAAATCTTCCAGCTGGTTAATTGTCCATGATTAAAGTGAAATATTAACTTTAATTTCTTTGCTAATATTTCTACATATCTTATCATATATGTATATTTAGAGGCCACGCAACCCCCGCTGACAGAACATATGCCCATTAATTAGAGCCAAACTGCAACAGATACTAATAGCTGGCTAGCTGGCACTCCTTATGCAGCGCAATATTCGATTAAAGGCCATCAATTGAACAATTCAATTGAGTGCCAATGTTCCCATGACCAGACAAATTTACACTTGCAGACGACCAGCAACAGCAGCAGCCAAGTGCGTGAGAAAGCAAAAACGGAGAGAGCGAGTGAGAATGGAGATGGAAGTGGAAATGGAAGTGGGAGGGTGGCCTGGCTAGGGCGCAGGCTCAGCAGGAGGATTCATATTGACCAATAAATAAAAGGTAGCGATGCGGGCGCGGATTTCAGTGGATTCGTATTACGGAGAGGGGTCAGTGCAGCAGCAAAGGCAGCAGCAACAGCTAAGGGATGATCCTTGATGCATTATTTGTTATTTGAATCACGTGACAAGTTGCTGGCTAAAAAGCAAGGGGGTTGCTGGGAAAGCGGCAGAGAAATCATCCCACGGGATTCAATTTATGCGTGTTTGAATGTTTTTGATTGTGCGTTGCTAATTCAAATAAAACTCAACTTCGACTTTGTTTGTTGTTGTTGCTATTGTTGTTGTTGTTTTCCTGCGGTAAGCTGAGCTGCAAGCTCCATCCACCCGTTGCTGCCGCTGCTGCTGCTGGTTGTTGTTGCTGTGGTGGTGGTGCAATTTCAGCCTCATTACAAAACATTTGCTTTGTTCGCCGAGCTTAACTTACGCCTTCTGCTGCGAGGGGTCGCATCAATTGCCGTGACAGCTTGCGCCTGTTGGCATTAATAAAGTCACGAAAAGCATTTGCATTCCGTGCTCAGGGGATTCGTAATTAAACAAATTAAGCAAGTGACTCAAGTGCGCCGTTCTACTCCCCAGCCGAGCCGTAGATTTAGAGAGAGCCAGAGTCAATGTTTAGCCACTTTTTTCGAGCCGGCAAAATGCTGTAAAAATAGCTGCAAATGTCTGCCTAATTATTACAAATGATCTCATATTTATATTTTATGTTAATTTCAGTTGTCAGCATAGGATTGGATTTTTTGTTTTTATATTTAAGTTTCAGCTATGAAAATACCAAAAATGCCTTTAAAAAATATATCGAGTTGGGTACGTAATAATGCTGGACCAAAGGATACCCAGCAGTAAAGCGAAAAGAAAAATTAAAATGAAAAAGATGTAACATTTATTAAGAAAAAAAAAATTATAATGATATA